TGATGTAGTTTTGTTTTACTTGGTAAAGTAAGTGTTATGTTTTTTAAATATTATATTTACGTAAGTTTACTTCATAAATAACTTTTTTTACATTTAAAAAGTAAATTACATTTCGATGTAAATTTTTTACATAATTATAACCAAAATTACTTTTGAAATTAATTTACTTTACACGACTTACCATTAAAAGTAAGTTGCTTTTACAAGTAAAAGTAAAAATGCAAATAACTTTTACTTGTAAAAGTAAATTACTCTTTCAAGTAACAGTTACTCATTTAAAAAACTTAACTCATTTAAAACTTAATTACTTAAGTAATTAAGTTTTACTCATTTACTAATTTACGTAAAAAAAAAACGAATTACTTTTAAATGTAAGTAAGTTATATATTTTTATATAAGTTATGTAAAGTAATTTGCGGTTAAAAGTAATTCGCGTTTTTACATCAAAATAAGTATAAGTGCCATCCCTAGTTATGGTTCCATAATTCAAATTTTCATTATTAGTACATTTTTAGATATTTTATTTTGATGCAAATTGTTGATTTTTGTATACGTATATTTCTTTGATAAATTAGAAATTAAGGGAGATGGGGACGCATTGAATGCTGTAGCAGTATTTTGTAAACTGCGAACAACCGATATAGATATAAAAGCATATAAATTACAAAATTAAACTAAAACAATCTGTCTTTAAGTTACAATAAATGTTTTAATAATAAAAAAAAACTATGAACATGATATATCTCAAAATAACAACAATCCTTGCAAAAGACCAATGTATCTGATGCAATGGGGTACCATAATCTCCGACTTGGGGCGACTTTGATCTTATATGATTAAAATTATTTACATGTTTAATACTGCTATTATTTACATGTTTAATACTGCTATAAATGCTTTAGTGAAAGGATAATAATGTATATTATATAATACATCTAAAAAAGTAAAATAGTTATAAAAAAAATGAGTAATCACATTGTAATACACACTACACAGTGGTTTAAACGGTGGACATGAGTAAAATATTTAATGCTTTGAAATTAAAGTTTAACCTAATTTTTGTATACTTAAATAGAAAGCAGATTTAAGTTAAAAAAAAAAAAAGTTATGTCTATTTAAAAAGTTACGGGAATGCAAAGTTGAACAATTTGGAAGAAAAAAAACAATTTAAAACCCAACAGAGTTTTTGAGTATACTCTGAAAAAAAAAAAAGAATATTGATCTAAAACTTAAAAAATTATCAATTAACAATAAGGGTTAAAGAGTCTACATAAAAATACATTTTTCTGGCTAATAATAATAATAGTATTTTAGGAAGAAAAATGGATAATTTTTATAAAAGTGATATAAAAACTGAATTTTTGCACATGATTTTGCTGTGATTTTTGAACATTTCAGTCATTATCTCATGGCGCCATACTAAACCTTATATAATTTACAAACTACAAAATAAAAGCTTTCATTTGCTGTAATGTTTAAGTTGGCCCCATAAGTAAAAAATGAGTTTCAAAAGTGCCATCTTGAGATCAACGACAGTGGGTTTACTTATAAAAATTAACAAATACACATGCGTTACAATAATAATTTATTTCAAACAAAAGATTGTTTAAAATATCATTAGTTGATTTTTGTTGAGTTCTGTGCATACATAAGTGTTTAGAATGCCCTTTATCAAAACAGTTTTTGCAAAATAGACGCCCTTTGCTCCGTCTTTCTACAACTAATGGGTCATTGCCAAAGTCTTTTTAAGCAATCTTCTATATTGACCAATTGAGTATTTTTTCCTGATAATTTTTCCCTGAGACGCTTATTATTAGTTTCCATTTCTTCTTCACTTCAATATTTCAAACTGGTGGAATTATTTATTTCTATTAACTCGTAGTTTTAAGCAAGAATTTTGTACAGCGTTGGAGTTATATTTACCCAATAAAATTTTTGTAGATGGTGTTTAGCTCCTGACACATTTGTTTGTATAACTCAATATTAATTTTTTTTCCAGATGACATTGGTCTCAGAATTATGGAAAGAAGAAAACCATACTATGTAAAGGGTTTCTGGCAACATTTCCAGTTGTTGTATTTCCCCCTTGTACCGTAGATTCTGCTACCCATTTGTACCCATATTTAATTTCATATTTTCATTTAAATTTTCCTCTATTTGAATCATCTATATAAGGTTTGCTACTAGAACAAGTAAGTCTAGTCACTAGTGGAACGTATTTTGCCGTAAATGCCTAAGAAAAAAAAAGTGATTGATTATATTAGAAAAAGTGTTAGTGTAGTAGTCATACTATTTAG